ACACACACACACACACACACACACACACACACACACACACACACATATATATATATATATATACTGTATATGTGTTTGTGTTTGTGTGTGTGTATGTATGACAGAAGGCCTGAGTCACCTCATCTTCAGGTTGCATGGTGCTAAGTGTTCTTTAAAGGCATGTGCAATGTAACGGAGCATAGGAATGTAACAGTTAGGTTTTTAATTATCTGATTAGGATTTCCGTGCAAACTACAGTATTCCAGTTTTTCTTTTGTTCTTGTTCCATTTCCATTGCTGCCTGTGCAGTCCTCATGGCCCATGATGTTTACAGGAAACAACTTCTGCATTAAGGCCACATAGATGTTCACCCAGAGGCGTCACAGAGACAGCGTAGATGAGGAAAAGAACAGAAGGAGTCTTGTTTTGTACACAATCAGTGTCTCCAATAAGATGTAAAATGGAAATGCTTAGCATTTTCTTGAACTAATGCATGTTGCCCGCCACCTTTCATATCAGAGTTCTGACTAAAACCATTTTGTTCTGAGAAAGGACAGAGTCATAGTTGTTTAGTCAAACCTTGTAAATCAAGTTGTGCATGACCTTACATATGTTTGCACTCAGAACATGCTGAGGATCATGCTCAGCTACAACCACACCAAATTTAAATCAATTTCTGTAAAACTGATCGAACTCCAGCCATGGTAATGTTGATTAGCTTGTGGGGTTGGCTTCAAAAGGTAACTCGTTGCAGATGTACATCCAATGACTACTTTCTGAGAGTTTCGATCAAATCTGGTCATTGGTTCACAAGATACTTTGCTAACAGACTGGTTTGATGCCCAGTTAGAGACAATGCTCTGCTACTACCACACCAGATTTCAGCTCAACATTTGAAAATTATAGTCAAACTTACAAATATTGATGTTGCCTAGGGCTGCTTAGCTATGGCAGCCATGTTGAATAGGACTGACGTCAGTATGGTAATTAAGCATTTATAAAAGTTTGCCCAATGATCACTTTCTGACAGTTTTATTGAGAATCTGTCCACTGATTCATGAGATATTTTGCTAACGCTACAGACAAACGAACAGCTGTGTCACTCGTGTTGGAATACGATAGAGTTGTTGTTGTCTGTGACGCCTCTGCTGCCAGCAGGAGCTTGAACGCATCTGTGAAGTGGAAAAGCTCACGATGGCTGTACAGACAGGCCAGGCCGATTCTGTATGAAGCACAATAGACCGACTAAGGTTGTCTCTCTGATGTAAAACTCCTTTCTTTCCGTATTGTGTTTTTGCTCGTGTTGAGTTTAATGAATTGCATGTGCCGTATGGGACTCCGTAGGTCCACAATCAAAGCGACGTGATTGATTGCCCTGCTTTTTGTTGTGTAAAAACGTTTAAAGCCTGTTATTATATTGCTTGCTCTCGGCCAATGCTTTTGATACAGTTTGCTTTTTGTGAAACCAACCAGAGATATTTTTAGAACATTTTGATACAATCCTTTCGAGTAGATGCCTTGTGTATATTTCCGTTTACAACATGATGGAATGTAGCTCATACTGTGGATCAGAACCATTGGTTTATATTGCAAGACTTAACGGAACAAAATGTGACAACTACCTAAGTTACCTTACAGTATCGTAAATAAATAGATCATGTTCAGTCTGCAGTATTGATACTTTTAGGCCTTCAGGCTTTGCTTTGTTATGCTTTGCTTTATGTGTATGTTTTTATCGTTTTCTTGGAGAATTTTTACCTCAGACTGAGTTTTTTTTACACAGTCCCTATATCCATTTGTGACTCTAGGCCACTCTCAGTCAACCACACCGTTGAGAAATAATTGCTATATGTAAAGGCAGCTAAAACAGTGGAGATAGTTTTCTATGTAACAAAAAACAAACAAAAAAAAACAACTTTTCTGTTCATGAACATTATCAGAGGATGGAATGAACTAATTGTGCGGATCGATGTTTAAAAAAAAAAAACAATCAGACTAATAAGGAAAATAAAACAGCCAAAATTACAAAGAAACACAGCTACAATCTATCATCAGAGCTCTGATGTAATCCTCTGATAATGTCCAGTGTATTTAACTCATCTGCTTTTATTTTGGGTGCTTGTTTTCAACAAACAGCAATCAGTTTTCCTCTCCTCTGCTAAAGTCTCGCTTTAGGTTGTGAGTTTTTGCATCCAAATAAAAATAGATTTTCATGAATCTGTCTTGCTTTATTTCTAACATTCAGCCAGTTAGGCACAATGAACAGTTTTCTAGTTTTTGGTTTTCTGTTGTGTTGGGTTTTTTTGTGTACAATAAAACGAACTACACATCATGCAATATGTATTTTGACCACTAGGTGTAAGTATTTGAAAGAGCTTTCAACAGCTTCATGATATGAGAGGATCATTTGAATTTAAACACCCACATTTACACAAATGTTATATTCTGACATGCATTCAAATGTAATTTCAGATGTAAATTATGGTAATTTGGCACTTATTTTATTTACTTTTTGCTTGGTCTTTCTCTCCTCTTTCCTAGTCCTTACATATCCTCAAAACCATTAGATAATCTTAAAGACATTGTTTTTAATAATTAAATCTGACACCCTGTTAATCCGTCATCACATTGTTTCAGTCAGAATCAACACAAGAACATCAATTTTTTTTAAATAACATTTTTGTATAGTGGTTTTACATACTCCCAATAAAACTTTTACTTTTATTTAGTTTCTTACAGTTTTCACGTATTTGTGTCAAGTTCTGGTTACACTATCATCTTTAAATATGATCAAAAATAAACACAATATTAACCAAACTTAACTTTGTATGTCAAATAAACAAGCTCAATGATTGTAAAAGCCATTTATCTGTAAGTTAAATGTAACTTTCATGGCAAGTGAGTGTCAAATTCAAATCAGTTCTTGTACAGAAAGAGAAACATGAAATTATCAATATCTATTAATATGGTTTGCAACATAAAACCGAGTGAATTCAACTAAATCGTCACATACTTGTGTTTTCAGTCAGCC